TCAAACCAAAATGGATGTAAAACAAAAATATCGTGATAGCTCACAAAATTAGGAAAAACAAAACATTAAATAAACCACTTTACTCCCAATGTTCCAACTGTCAGTCAGTCTTGGCCAAAACCAACCAACCTGAGGTTCAGGCAGTATAAAGTGTCAAAACAAAGGATAAGGAGCTCTCAGATGGTTTCCTTTTGGCTTGGCTCCTACAGCCCTCCTGGTACAGAAAGCATCCCTGTCCCCTGTCCTGACCCGCAGAAAGCCTCCACAGCTGTAATGAAGTCCTGGACCACGGTGAAGCAGTTCCTCACATGGCACAGATGGAATTGTCCCTAAAAAAAACAGTCTGCACAAAGGTATGCAGAACTGTACTTTTGCACCCAATGTGACCCCGTGTCCTATATTGAGATTCACAGCCAGCTAAACTCTCACTTCCTCCAAGGAACAGGCCCGTGTTGTATTCGGACAGGATTTAATACAAGAAAGTGTGAAACTGCAACGATACAAAATCCAGAAAATATTCAGAAAACAAATAATAAGTCCACTTCGAAAAAATAAACATTTCCCTTTACAACTAAGGCACATTAAAGCATTAATATCATTTTAGCAGTCACTATACATTAACTCAGGTTGGATTCAGTAACGCTGACACACACAGCTTATCAAAACGTCCCCAAACTTACTGTAATAATCACACACATTTATCCTGAACTCAAAAACGTACTCATATTGCCACTCAAAGGGCTAAAGAGGAGTGGATGGCTTGATATTTGGCGACACACCATTTTACGCTTGCCTCATGCAAAAACAACAATTCCTGCTACATTTCCTGTTTATAAAACGGCTAAGCATAGCGAACTGTAGAAACTAGCGCCCTCTACTGACCGGGAGAAATAACAATATAAAAGAGTTCCAGTACAAGAACCGTTCAAAGCTTTAATGTATTTCATTCCCTTAATGTTAAAATTTTAACTAGTTAACTATAAAAATGAATTACATATTCCACTTTTTTAACACATGAAATGTAAACGCTATAAACGCAGCATTCCTCTGCATCACCAGCAGTTGGGGTTACAACAACAGCTAATGCACTTGAACTACACCTAGCCTCGTTAGCAGGCCGCGGCTAAATTAGCAGGCCGGGAGGAAACTAAGTGCTAACCACTTAACCAAATAATTATTATAAATCCATCACAATGTCATGAAAACACACCTCCACGACGATTAAAAATGTAGTGACTATTCTAACAAAAGATTTAGAAACTATTCTGACTGGTTATTTATCTATTTTTCCAATGCATTGAACAATGACAATGCTAACTGACCGAAGCTAACTCACTAGTTAGTTTTGTCTGCAAAAGACCTATACGCCGACAAGTCTATTTGAATGACGACTCCTTACAGTAAATGGAATATTCCCCAAAATTATTTGACATCTGATTCATAAGTTTCATGATAAAATAGAAAAACAAGTTTTAATACAAATAAATAACGTGTTAGTTTAGTTATATTGTAATTTTAACATTAAATATTTTTTAAGTGTCATGTTATGAAAGGATCATTTCTAAATTGAGAAAAATTTTGAAATTTCACACATTTTGGGGAGGAAATAAATCCTGTGTGTTGCTCACTGGGCTTTGTAGTGCACTTGTTCCATTAACAATAAGTAAACATGCAGTCAAACTAGCAGGTGATTTACATCCAGATAACGAGTTCAAAAGGCTGCTGTAAGGAACTCAACCTGTGCAGTTAGTGGTTTAAGGACAGGCAGCTTCAGTCATTCAGACTCCTGCAGTCAGTTTAGTAACTAATGAATGCACGTGGATTTATCTTCAGATAGAACTTCTGATAGATTTAAAGATATATCAAATCTTTAACATTTACTACTTTGTTCATAATACTTTACTGATAAAATGCCATCTATTAATGTCTGCAACTTAATGTTCTGCTTTGTGTGAAAGGGATAAAACTATAAACACTTAACATTTAATATCAAATAAAATCAAGGAGAAAGGTTGAAGTTTCATTAAATTTAGTAAACAAAAAACACTAACAATCCTGGAGGGCCTCCACCACAAAAAGCCTCCTCTTGAGGAGTTCCTCTTCATGAGGCTCCCAGAGGGACGCCTCTACCTCCTATTGGACGTCGTCTTCCAGTACAAGGTAGAGGCGTCCCTCTTCCTCACTTTCGAGGACGCCGAGGACCTCCACAGCAGTAAGCTCCTTCACCAATGCAGTCTGGATCTGTAAAGAAAAAAAAAATCAGCATGTCTGTAATATGTTGCATCAAAGCTAAATATTCAGCTTTGCTTACCTCAACTGCAGTGAACGCTGTGGACCCTAGGTCCACCTTGTGGACGGCTGCCTCCCTCTGTTTGGTCCTTACCCTGTTCACACAAACAGTTCTGCTTAGACATGTGACACAGTACTGGTAAGAAATCAATCCAAGTAGCTCTCTTTACCTCCTGAAGGCGCACTGTCCTTTTGGGGACCTGCTCCCTCCCCACCGCCATTTTTTTTAAAGTAGACATCTATAAAGAAAAATAATTAAGGACAACATGGCAAACGACCTCTTTTTGTTCCTGAAATGAACCACGTAGAAGCTCAGCTGTCTCTTGAAAGCCAATTCCTGATATTACAGCTGATTTGGGAAGTTTTTCTCTGATATTTACTTAATTGTATTGCAATTCCTTCATAAATAGAAATATGGACATTTAAATGAACTTTGCCATCATTGATGGCCAAGACTTTGTTAGTTTTTACACTTTTTGGGGTGGCCGTCGTTTCCCCAAAGTCCCATGAGAGGAGGCGCGTCTGCTCCCTGGTCAACAATATGTGTATTTTTAGTGGGGGGGGGGCTGTAATATGGTCCATGGACCTTTTCATGTAGGACCTCCCTTATAGACATTCTGTAAAGAGACGAAAAATATAAGTTAATATAATGGTTGTCAAAATTATCGATACTCCAAAGAGTATGGATACTAAAACGCTGTTTAATGGATATGATAGTCATTTTCAAAAGAATCGATACCACCCCCGCCACCCCCCGCTAGGTTGACCTGCCTCTGATTTATTTAATTATTTACGTTGTTTGTGATCATTAACGTGACGTTAGCCTGGAATTGCGACTAATGGCTAATAATAACACGCCAACATTAATCAAGTCCCAAAAAAAACACAAAAACTAAAATACGTCAATAAAATCCTCATAAACTCGCAATATTATTTAGGAAAATAGCAAAATTTTACTCACTTTTCTTGAAAAGTCCGTTTTGAAAATGGCCTTGATAGTATATCGCACACCAAATCAGTAAATCGGACACCAAATCATAAAATAGCGACTATATTTCTACATAGTCTATATATAGTTTGATAAAGTTGGCTGATACGCTATCTGACTATCCAATCAGCGGGAGTGAATACAATGACGTTGCCTAAGGCCTTCTACTTAAAATCTGATTGGTTAAAGCAACAGCGTACTCGACTTGGGTTGTGAAGGCCTCCTGGCAGACATCTTTGACTTTGACCCAGCCTAGCAACAAACGAGGAATGACGTGACTGGGTCGACCAATAGGGGGCTACGCAGCAGAACTAGTTTGTTTTGGAGAGGCGGAGACACCGGCTGAGCTGAAAAAAAGACGTTTGAGATTGAACGTCAATTGAATACTTGAAGAATATTTAAATGAAGGCAAATATCATCATCACATGTGTTATTACTGTGCTTTTGTGTACGTGTAAAAATAAAAAACACCCAAAGATACAAAATGTTATCTTTTGTTTTGTAAGAATTGTTTTTAATGATTTTAAAACTGCCATATCTAAAAAACGGCTGAATTTTTTTAAAGAAGAGTCATACATCGATAGCTGAATGCCTTGAGAGCCGTATAAAAGTTGAATTTTTTTAATAGGTGAAAATAGGCTGAAGTAGTTAGGGCTGACGTAGGTCAAAGTTTAAGACGGAGTTGAAGATTTCTCCATTGATTTCAATGAGAGCCAAAAAGCAGAAAAAGTTAAATCAGGGGTGTCAAACTCCAGTCCTCGAGGGCCGCTGTCTTGCAGGTTTTAGAGGTAACCCTTTTTCAACACACCTGATTCACATCAAAGGGCCATTAGACAGGTGCAAAGCTCAACAATGTCCAGAGGAGATCCAATTTAATAAGAATCAGGTGTGTAGAAACAGGAAAATGTCTAAAACCTGCAGGACAGCGGCCCTCGAGGACTGGATTCTGACACCCCTGAGTTAAATAACTGAAAGGTGTTTCAAATTGATTTTAATAATCTTTAATGTTTTCAAAATTTGAGTGTAGACTCCTGCTATTAAAGGGCACCAATGACATTTTTTGATTGAGTGTATCTTTAAGAGTATTTTCTGTGTAATGTAAACAATTCCTTCCTTTTGGTAAACGTGCATATCTGGGTCAAGGCTGTTCATATCATTTGGAACTTGTAATCAATACTATCTGAAAAGTTTTTCTGTGCATTTAAGGAAGGCTCTATCTTGAGTTGACACTTTTTCCAAGAAGATCTTGGCTGCCAGGAAAGGAAAAACCAGAGAATGATGGATTCCTCAATAGGTCACACTTGTTGAGAACATGGAGAACAGGTTTTTACCTTCAACAGTACATGGATGTTCACATATAGCAACTGCCAGTAGGTTCCACCGAGACTTGAACTCAGATTGCTGGATTCAGAGCCCACACTGCTAACCATTACACCATGGAACCCATGGACAGTGCCCTATAGGCCAGCAATCAAGTACATAAGTGAATATGAAAGGCAATTTCACTGGCAAGTAAAGGAACACAACGTAATGCAACGCTGGACCAGATAGCTTCTTTCCTGACAAAATGCTGGACTCCTACCCTCCCCCTAAATTTGAGAAGATCTTTAATCATGAAAGTGGGCCTTCCAGAGAAACAGATATCCTCGTTCGTACAGTGGACAGTATCTCCGCCTGTCACGCGGAAGACCGGGGTTCGATTCCCCGACGGGGAGCTTATTTTCATTTTAGTAGCTGGTGGTTGCTCAAGAATATCATCTTCCCAAGGAAACTGTGAATCCTGTTTTGAGTTGTGAGATATATCCTACACTGCCAACAATTGGCTACTTTCTCCACGCCATGTTATAAACAATGGCCCTGTACTGCTAAATATTTCTGTCCTTTCACCTCTGTAAATCACGTCTTTCTCGTCCCGTTCTATACAATGGAAAGTATGGCAAATCATTAGCTGCCAAGAAAAAAATAAAACCTAGCTTATTGCACCCACACCAAAAGGGGGCTACATCTTTGCAATTTACATATCCTGTAGTGAAGGGTTAACTGGGCAGTTACTTTGTGACCTCACTTCATCAAGTAAACACCCAGGAAGGATCACACAACGGTAGGTTTCCCCTGATTTGGACTCAGGCTGAGGTCAATATCAGTGCTATGTTTATTTGGATCTAACTGCAAGACAGAATAGCGAACCAAATCATTGTCTGCTGCGAAGACCTTGTATTCCATCACACAGTGTCAAAACTCCCAGGAAAGTAAAGTCAGTT